GGCAGAGCATTGGAAACTGAAAAATCCTTAATTTAAAATAAGCACTACTTAGCACAGGACAGTTACACAGATAAATATTTATACTTTTAGAAACATAAGCATTCATGACTGAATTCTTTTTATTTCTTTTTATAAAGTTCAAAATGCTCCTTAAAATGGGGAATTTTCATAAAATACCAGTGTTTAGACTGGCAAAATCTGTAGGTTGTTCTAAAGAACAGTCCTTGAAAACATAAAATTTATAATTACTTGCAGGCTAAGTAGGTTTTCTGGGAATCATAATTCATAATTGACTGGAAACGGTGCTACCTGGATGAAGTATTTGTGTTCGAGTCAAATGACTCGTATCTTGCTGTTCTACATATACCCTTTTATAACTGATCTATTCAAGCTACTATATTTAAGATAAATAAGAGACTTTTTTAGAATAATGACATTGGCTAAAGAAGTGCTGTGAAGCTTTTAGTACTAACCAAAACTCTTTGCTAGAATGCCTGTTGGTTGTTTCTGTCATAGCAATAAAAGCGAACTTGGGCATTCAGTGGCTACTGTGTAAAATGGTTGAATGAAGCTTTTTACTAAGCCATACTTGCTCATGAAAAAGTACCTGTTAAGGGATGTTACAAGCAGCTGCTGCCTCCAGCAGCTCTGGGGCCTGGCAGTTCCTTCTGCCCGGCTGCTGGAGCCCAGCCAAGGGACCAGAGTTCTCTGTCCCAGGCTGATGGACGTGGCTGCGGCTTTCCTGTTTCCTTGTAGGTTCAACCACTAGCAAGTCTGAGTGTGTATTCCAGAGAGAGAGAGACTCACGCACACACACTTCTGTATCCTCCCCCCTCCCCAGCATGGCTGGCTACACAGACTGGCACAAGCAATGTGCTGCCTTTAAGAGCACCCATGTGTAACACTACCAGGATTTGCTTAAAAGGTAACTACAGACACCCAAGACCCTTTCCTCATCTTCAGCTGATAAGGATTGCTGTTTGCTAGTAAGAGTACACACCCACCCACTCTCTAGAACCACAAGCACATGCACATTTGTGGATGACTGGCATAGCCCATCCATGCCATACCCCTGCCTGGATCCCAGTCTCTCTTACCTGCTGTGCAGGCCTCCAACTTGGAGACTAGTCCAGCCTGATGCTCACTAGCAGACATATCTGTGCACTCGCACACTCGTCTTGCAGGCACTCTGCACTTGTGGTTCCCCCCAGATGCCATCGTGGACTCTCTGTCCACCTGATACCCCTGCCTCAACCCAGGGCCTCAGACTCACTGGGTAATCCACCTTGAAGTTTGCTAGCAAATTGCACATGCATGCACCCCATGCACACTAGCTTTGGGAAAGATGCATATGCTTGCCCCCTGCCCCCAGCAGCGGGTATCAGGCATATGGGCTCATAACTCATGTTCCTACTCTAGATGCTGGCACTGAGCCACTTGCCGTTGCTTCACTCACCCTTATCACCGCACTAGCTGTTTTTTGGGACACATGCTGTTCTTGCCCAGTGGGTGGACACGAAGACCCCTACCCACCCCTGTAGCTGGCACTGAGACGCTTGCTTCCATTGTTGACACCACAGACTGAAGGGTGCCTACACTGCCTACAGCTCCAGCTGCTGGCACCAAGTCTGCTCGCTTCAATCTCAACAGTAGCTGGCACTTTCGGACATAAAGTCCATGGTGCCCACAGGGATGATCCCAAGAGGTGTGGCCTCTCCAGCTACTGATGCTGAGACCCTTGCTCACTCCATTTGCTAACCCCAAATCCACTCACACCTGTCTTGTTAGTTGCACCTAGTCCACACACTTGCATGCATGGGATAGAGAGTGAGGCTGCACAGAGGGATAGCTAAGAGCAGACTGTAGGAATCAGGTGCATAAGTTTTGTGTAAGTACCGGAGGCCGCCCTTGAACATCCCAAATCCTCATGTTCCTCTTATTTCCTCCTTGTCACTTAGGTGGTCCTCTACAAAGCTTTGCCTATAGATTCTTAATGGCCCGTCAGTTAGAGACTGGAGACTGGAGACTTTGGTCTTTGCTATTGTTTCTGTTATGTCTCATCTACCAGTATCGTTTCTCTGTATTCCTGTTTATTGCTTCATTCTTTATTTGTTATACCCTTTTGCACTGAAAAGGTCCCTATTCAGATAACCATAATAAAGCAGAGGTTCTTACCTTCCACATACTGTTACAGCATCATCTGGTAGAAAATAATGTACCCTCTGTACCTTCATCTTCCTCAAAGCAGTTGGAAAAACAGACTCTATAAAGAGAAGTATTCAGTCAGTCAGAGATGTAGAGAATGATATTTCATTGTCAAAATTATGATGGAAACTTGAACATTGTTTAGAACAACAAAAAGAAAGATTGATTGAATAGTACCTGTGGAATACACTGTGATACATGACTGCAAAATGTTTGAAGTATTTTTTCATTATTTGTGGGATGAAGATGCATCTTCAGAAGCTGGAATCTATGCACAACCCTCAACAGATATATTTTCGACAAGACGTTCTCTGTGAGACCCTGGCTGGCAACAGTTGTCCCTTAATCACTATTACAGCCATGCCTGAGTCCAATTACTATGAACATATCTGTCAGTTCAGTAAGTATGACTTTTCTTTCTCATCAACTGAAAATAATGTAAAACTAGGTCTTTATGAAAAAAATTAGTGTTATTTGTTGTGGATTGTAAAAAGAGCAATGTAAAATAAGGTTAATGAGTTTCATGAAATTAAGAGAGGTCAATATTCAGGATTTGCTTTGTATTTAATAGTATTTATTTGTGGTAGTGTCACTGTCCAGGGCTGGGCCGGCTCTTGACAGGGGCGTCCGAGGCTCCCTGTGAACCCTCCCTGCCCCCGGGAGGGGAAGGGATGGAGAAAAGGGAGAGAGACCTAGGGGCTGGAAATTAAAACTACTTTCATAATACAATAGTGATGGAAAATAGTATAATGTATTAATACTAATGCTACTAATAATGGAAGTAAGAGGAAAAGTATACAAAACCAATACCGACTTTCCCGATGACGATTGGAGAACCGCAGGCCGCAGGGTCTCGCAGGGCTGCCACAGCAGGGTGGGCACTCGGATGTCCTGGACCGGACTCTGCAGCCGACAGGAACAGGATTCAGGAATGCACAAATTGGGGTCGGAGTCAGGAGAGCGAGCAGAGTCCCACAGGGGTGCTGACTGTGAAAGAAGAGAGCGAGACCCTCATGATCCCTTAGCTTTATACTGAGTAAAACATGGATGGGATGGAATACCTTGTTGATCAGTTTTTGGTCACCTGTCCTATCCGCACTCTTCCGCAGGTGCGACCCTTTTACGACTGTTTACTCACTTAACAAAAGAGTGAGCTTTAGTTATGGCAGCATTCCTGGTTTGCTCCTCCACTCCAATATTTTTCTTGGCTATTGGGAAAAAAACTGTCAAAGTCATCATATAATAATTGCCAGTTCAAATGAGTTGTGACTCTATAATTGTCTGATGGAATGTAAAGCTCCATTGTGAGAATTCTGTAATTAGGAGTCCTTATAACAATATTCTGGCAAGCTCTGTCAATAATACAGATACTTAGTAATACTCAACTCCCAAATGCTGTATTTTGCATTATAATAAATGAAGCTGGCTGTTGCCTCTTTTTTCAATTAACTGTTTACTTAGCTTGAATCATATTTTGCAACTTCTATGCATACTTCTTTTAGGGAACCGTCCTTATGTTTTCCTATCTGCTCGTGTACATCCTGGAGAGACTAATGCAAGCTGGGTTATGAAGGGAACGCTGGAATACCTTATGAGCAATAATCCAAGTGCCCAATATTTACGAGAATCTTATATTTTCAAAATTATTCCCATGCTCAATCCGGATGGTGTCATCAATGGAAAGTAAGTAAGCGTAAGATTATTCACGGATATGTAACATGTACTACTAAGTCTTTGCATCTGTTGTTTAAAAAAAAAATCATGAACTAAACTAATTCCAGAAACATACAAACGCAATACTTAATAGGAAAAAAAAAAAAAACACTTACAAAATTGCTAGGACTTTCTAATTTTTAGGCTTTGTAAAGGCAGATGCATTGTTCCATAAATTTCAGTTTTATAAAAAATATTTTCAGTTGCTCGAGTGTGATAATCATTCCTATATGATTCGACATGGCATTTTAATTGTCTTTCTAAACTACAGTCTTGAATAGGTATAGAGAGTTACATGACAGCACAGCTGCTTTTAGGAAAAGCTAAACAAGTTCATGATTCTCATGAAAAAGAACAGTCCTTGTATCTGAGAAAGCATTTTACATAATTTTTCTCTTTTTTTATTATAGATTTTAGAAGGATGTTATGGAAATGGCTGTTGTCAAATGTTATTAAAAGGGGGAAGGTTAACAGGTGCGCAAAAGAAAAGGGTAAAATAGTATCCTCATTTAGAGTTATAATAGTAATTCTTTCACTTACTACCACTTTTCTTAATAAATTTAAGGGATATTTCAGAACCTTTTGATACTGCTATGAGTAAGCATTCAGCAGACTGTATTTACTTAGTTACAGGGAATTCATACGAAATGGAAATTTTGGTATGGCGCATCTACAGTTTCTTCTTACCTAGTTATGGATAGTATTTTAAAAGGTTTTGTGAACAAAATCATAAAAATCAAACCAATTATGGGTTTGAGTAGAACCTTGTCTTTATATACATAAAAGCATGTATATAACAGAACACCTGGAATTAAATCATTCAGAATACAAGTGAAAGTTTAATACAGGGACAATTAAGAAATCTGTCCCAGCAGACACAATCTAAAGACAAATGCACTGAAGATGACTGCACGAACATGAATTTCTGCAAGTTTAAAAGTTCTTACAGAGATGATCTTTATTTGTTTGCTGAGTTTTTTTGGTTTTGTTTGGTGGTTGGGTTTTTTTTCCTTCTTGTTTTTGTCACAGCTACTTGTCTCCTGACAACTTCATTTCTCAGATTTCTGGTTGACATTAGTCTGTGTATTATGGAAGTCAAGACATCCATCAAGATACCATATAATTTAAATTACTGATTTTGAACTAGCATTTGAATAGAATCACAAGCCTTCAGTTTCAATGGCAAATAAACAAGATTACCAGTGACTTCATATAAGAAGCTACTTCTACTTTATTTTTAGGTTTTCTGTAACATAACTTAAAAAACCCCAGACACTTCTATTATTTGGCATGTTAGAAAAGTGAAGTTTGTTTCTTACCAGACTCCTTCCAAAGAAGCAGTGGTGATGAGGAAAACTTGAGGTGGGGGGGAGGCTTATTTAAAAGTATGATAATACAGACTACATCATGCGTTTTTCCACCCCCCGACAATAGCCACCGTTGCTCTTTAAGTGGAGAAGATTTAAACAGACAGTGGCAAAATCCAAATCCAGATCTGCATCCCACTATTTACCATGCTAAAGGGTTACTGCAATATCTGGCTGCTATAAAACGTTTACCTTTGGTGAGTATGATTGTGTAAGCACTTCAGAATCTTTATAATATTGTCTGTATAGCTAGCCTGTAAATTAAAGATTTTAATATGGTCTTGTAAACTGAGTCACACTTAAATTTGACTTGGAGAACTGGTCTTCTGGAAACCTTTAGATCTAAATCGGTTTCCTTTGCTAGGGTAGAAGGTTAAACCTTCCTTAGATGAATCTTAGGTTTTTTGTCTTAATGTACAAGTTAATTATATAAGGAGTTGTGTTTCCTAATTCTTTGGCACTTTCAACAGTACAAATAAAATTTTCTATTTGTCCTTCTATTACTTTTATAAAATGTTAATTCCATATGCCTTGGCTTTGTTTTGCCAAATGATTGTAGGTCTACTGTGATTATCATGGTCACTCTCGTAAAAAGAATGTATTTATGTATGGCTGCAGCATCAAAGAGACAATGTGGCACACAAATGTTAATGCTGCCTCTTGTGACCTGATGGAAGACCCTGGTTACAGGGTAAGTTTGATACTTGTACCTTTTTCACTTGGCGTGAATTTGGAATATGCTTTTCAAACAACTTCCCAATATTATTCTATGCACATAGTGACTTTATAGCATAAGCAGACTTATTTAGAATGATCTCTTTTTAGTTCGTGAGTGTACTTCAAAGTATTTTGAGAGCTTTAAACATTGTACACTATTACAGCTAAAGATTAATATTAGTAGAGTGCTTTATTTTGGGGGGTCTTGGTAACAATACATACTTTTTTGTGTTCAACATTACCATTATAGTAATACATGGAAAATACGCCTATGTGCATATATAATTACTGGATTAAAAGAGAGTGATTTAAGCATGGCAAACAATATTCTAGCAACAAGAAAATAAAAATACTGAGTTGCTCTGAGAAATACTCATTTTTGTGTATGGAATTAGGCAAGGTTCCTCTTAGAAAGATGTGTAGTTAAGGCATGTGCCCCTAATACAAATACGTGATAAACTTGCACGAACAACATCCACTGCCTTGTATAAGCTTTCAAAAATTCCAGAAGATTGAACGCATTAGGTGTTACGTTTCTTTTGTGTAGCTCCACTGCCGCCCCGTGGCCACTGCAAATCTGTGCAACTTGGTGCTTCCAAACCTCGTGGTTTTTAAGATGCAGAGTTAAGCTTGAAGAGCGTGTGAACGCACGTTAAAACGCATAATGCATTCATGAGTGTAAATGAGTACAGATACTTTCAGGGTGTTTTTCCTCAAATCTCCCTCACTTAAAAAAAAAATATTCTATCGCTCCTTGATTTTCTTGTCTGATTTCCTGGATGCTGAGTCTGATGCCGTTTATGCCTGCTGCTCACCACATTTACATGGGGTTTTGTTACTTCAGCCTGCACTACCATAGAGCACAAAAGACAATAGTCAATAAGAGTTGTGGGAAAAAGCCTTTTGGTTTCAAAAAGACAGACAAATGTTTGAGCAAGCTTACCCAATAATGGTATATGTACTACTGAAATAGTCAATTCAGTGTGGTCATATGTTTTGGCTTAACTGAGACAAATAAAAAACGGAAAGAATGTAGTAATTTAGCATTAGTCAAATATATAAATTTGTATAACTGTTTCTTGTCTTTTTCCAAAGCTGTCATGTAAACAGTTACACTGAATTAGGAGGAGATGATGATCACCTGAAGAATTCTTTTGTATCCTGATTCTTACTCACATGACTAACACTTAATTTTAGTAATTGAATCTGAAAAATAGTATTTTAGTAAGTAGGAAATGGCAAACCTAGTGTCACTTGAACACACTGGGGTTTGAAAACTCAAGGTGGAGAAATGTTTTCATTCTTGTTCTTTTAATTCACATTGCAGCAAAATTTTCTGATAACAGTTTGTGATTGCATATTCCCCTCCCCCCAGCTTCCATAATTTAAATAAACGAATCACTGTCTTTTTCAAATTGCTGTCTTGCAGGCACTTCCCAAGATCCTGAGTCAAACTGCCCCAGCATTCTGCATGGGCAGCTGCAGCTTTGTAGTGGAAAAGTCCAAGGAATCAACTGCACGAGTTGTTGTCTGGAGAGAGATAGGAGTACAAAGGAGCTACACAATGGAAAGCACGTTATGTGGATGTGACCAGGGCAAATATAAGGTAAGCAAATATATCAGTTAAACTGTTCCTACTCTATGATTTCTTCCATTTGCATTGGTATCTTGTTCTGTAACCCCACTTGCTTGCTAGCTTTTAACTTCTAAAACTCTTTTAAGATCTGCATACACTAATGTTAGAGTGAAGTTACACGATTAACAATATTATAGGTTGCATAACAGTCTTCATCTGTCACTTAACCCTCCCCTCCCGGTATGTTATGCATATTGGCTGTTTTAACAAGGCTGATATTAATTATTGCTTGTGACACTTATGTATGCATGAGTTAAAAAAATCAGAACTGTTCTTTCCAGTAGATAATTAAAAAATTGAGTAGTAATAAATACCAATACTACAATAAAAATGTCCTTTACACATGGCAATTTCAGACTTCACCATGACAGTTCATGGTTCTTCAGCAGATATTTAGTAGTGTCTCTTACAGAATCTTCATGTGTAGCTGCAGAAACAGGCTTATAAATCAAAATACTTTCATATCACGTTACCAGAACTACAAATTACACATCTCTGAACTCACCATAGTTGTTTGACTTCTTGACTTAAATCTTGTTTTCAATTTGTCTCCTTCAAAAGTGTTAACAGTGCTGGATATTTGAAAAGAAAAGGTGATCATGTTTGTAGTTTCTCACTAGTAGAAAACTTACTTCAAAGAAAATATTCATAGGGGGAAAAAAGGAGACTCACTGCCCTAACATCTAACATCTGATCTTCAACTTCTGTCACTGGGTTAAATTTAGCTACAAATTGAAGCAAGCTTTTAAAGTGAACATTCATGGAAGAAGTCACAGTTTCCTCTGCTTGAAAACAGAGTTTAGGAATGCTCATCATGAAAATGACCACAAGCCTTGAATAAGGCTCTTGACAAAAAGGGAATCAGAAGGCTGGGATCAAGGCTGGGGGTGACAACAGTGGAATAAAAAAAAAAGTTGGAACAAGCTATATTTAGTTTATTAATGTATGCTCCAACACCCATGCTTGTCTCCCTAGACAGAAGCAAGACACATACTTCAACAGGAATTTCAGTAGGTCTGTAAATGCTAAATGAATGAGTTAATTTTGTCAGTTAACAACAGAAACATACCTGCTGTCTTCAGAATAGTCCATTATTCCTCAGATGACATCATTATGGGGTTTTAAAAAATGATAACTCATCCAACTTGCTTATTTTGAAACTTCCAGAATATTCTTAAACATGAACCTTCATGGCTTTAGCAGTGTTGCTACAGAAAGTTCTTAAGAAAGGTGAACTGAAGATGCTTTGTGGACAAACTTTAAAGATGCTTAACCTGCAAAACCCTTCTTCTGTAAGGAAGAAAAAAAATGATTAATTCTGTGGAAAAATCATTTACTCAAAAGGGAAAAGCATTCTTCTATATTATATAAACTAGCTGATGAGATCAAATTGCTGTTCTGTCACTCATTGTATTTGGAGTACAAGAAGTTGTGAGGTCTTAGTCATCCTCTGAACATACAGGAAGATTCTTCATTTTTTTCTCCACTACAATAATGCTCAGACTTATTAAGAAAATGTATCTAAAAGGCCAAGGTGACTAGACAGAAGAAGAGAAGAGCAACTTTTCTCCAATGAGAAAGGCAGAAATGAAAAGGCTCGGTCTTTTTTTTTTTTTTTTCTGGAGGGAGTGGGGCCAGCAACTCTGTGAATAAACTTGTAATATAAATTAGATGACATATTTCATAAAACACAGAGAGGAGTTAAACTGTAGAAATCACCTGCCCTCCTACTTCCCACCCCAAAGGACATGACATTTCAGATTTGAGGGCCTAGACTGTGTATTGTGTAAAGGTCTGAAGCACTTTTCGAGTTGCCTTCTGGTTTGGCATCATCACTGAATTTTGTTCAAAGCACAAAGAGGATTACTCAACAATTCTGTCATTGTGGGAGAAATGATGAGTCTTTGCCAAAGCTGGATAATATCAGAACATCAGTTCTTCTTTTTACTCTGTTTTGTTTTACTCAGACAATGGTGATGCTAGATTATTTCCAGCCAGGAAGCTGTTGAACTGAAGTTAGCAATTCTTGCCTGAATTTAGGATCCCTGGTGAGAGAATTATTTCTGGAAGCAATCTTGGTTTAACTGCTTGTGTGGGGTCTTTGTAGTGTCTTGTGCTACAAATATTGCTTAGTCATCTGCGATTCAAGATATTGAAAAGCAAACATTCCAGTGAAAAGATGCTCCAAGGTCTACTATGGAGGATAATTAAGATACCAGTCAAAAGAACAATTTTGTCAACAATTCAAACCACCTGAAAACTGAAATCAATCCCTTTCCTGATTGGAGATTAATAAGTTTGGGAGTATTACTCAGTTTTTAAGTTAATCGAAAAGATTTTGTTCTGTGGCAATTTTATGACGTACATAAGGCGAAAACTTTAGGAGATAAGGATTCAGTCAACAAACTTTGTCAGTTACCATGATTCTTCAGTCTCTAAATTTTGAGTTCTCAAAAATGATCACATCTTTGTAGCTTCTGCTGAATAAGAAAGCAGAAGAACAAGATGATGTTTTACTGTCCAACTGACTTCTCCAAATCCTAGTACAGCTGTTTTCATTTTATTAAGTACATATTGCAAGAATATTCTTCTCAACTTGAGGTCACAGTCCACTATGTCTTTGTTTTGCATCTTTGCTTTCAGGTAGCAAAGTTCATCACCGAAACACTCTATTAATGTGAAGGTATTTTCATGATGTCCTTAGTAAGGAAGACTTCAACCAACCATCTAAAATGTTACTGCCTAGAAGACAGTTGCATAAAATGTAAAGAAAAAGGAATGAAATCTGGTGCATGTTCAAAAAACCCAAACAACTGCTTCCAGGTGGCTTGTGCTTAAAAGTAATGCTTGTAACACTTAAGGAACTTTAATAGGCCACAGTTAAAGGTACTGTAACAACAGTTGAAGGTGATCAGAAGATCCAGAAGAGGAGTGTAATCAAGGCTTCAGTGAAAATGAGCTTCACCTCAGGTCCCTTAGTTACGGCAACTGTTTATTATTATTTCCTGAAACAGACTTTGGGTCTCTTGTTTTGTGGAAATTAGGAAATTTCACTGATGGAAGAATAACAGTGGATTAAGAAATTTGGTATTTGGCAGCTGTGTGGTATTACATTCTCCATTTTGATTTAAGGAAATGACAGAAGCAAATCTAGACTTTGATGTGGTCTTTTACTGCAAGTATGTAGACCCTTCAGTATAGTAAGTTCAAACTTTATCATCCAAGCGTTTCACAGTTATCCACCTCCAGTCTCATCCATTTAGGTCTCTCTTTAGTTATATTGTCTTTGTGCTGTGCTGAAAATAGCAGCCATGGAACATGCACACGCTATTTATCTTTTTAACAATTGTCTTTGCACTTTCTTTCATACTGTAGTCTTGTCCTTTTTCGACTTAGAGCCACTCCTATTACACTGTCTATAAGGAAGCTGCCAACTAACAGTAACCTCTTCAGCAACAGATGTAGACAATGATTGGAAAAGTTTCTGAACCATCAAGTTGTGCAATTAGTAATCTGTGTAACAGTGAGATTACTGTTACCCTTCTCTTTCCTCTTCCGCATACTTGTTGCCTCTTGTCCTTAATATTATTTTAATCTCTTTGGGGCAGGGACTGTGTCTTCCTGTGATTAGCGTAGTGGACCCCCAGCTATGACTGGGGTCTTCGAATATTACTGACGTGCAAATAAATACAAAACAAAACCAAAAAATTGGCCTCTGTGGATAAGGTACTGCACTGGGAGTAAGGAGAACTGATTTCTGTTCCCAGCGGGGTCAGTGACATGCTGTGAGACACTGTGCAAATCGCTTCAACCCTCTCTGCCTCCATTTCTCCATCAGTAAAGTGAGGATAATTCTTCCTTTATTAATAAAGTGCTTTGAAACCTACAGCACAAAAGCATTATAAAAGAGGTAAGTAGTATTACTATTAACAATAATGCTCAAATATCCAACTCTTGTTCACTGCTAACAGGTTTCTGTACCATGTTACTGGAGGATGGCACTGTTTGGAATAGTGGATATAGCTTTAGCTTTCTTGCTACTAAAAAGCACTATAAAGACTACAGAGGGGAAAAAAAAAGAACTCACAAGAAAAATAAAATCAAACATTCAGTTTATTAAATGTGCTTATGTTCAAAACAGAAGTACATGAACAATGTACAGACTGTAACATTTCTGGAGCAACATAACACTTTCTTTTAAACCTTGCATTTTAAAATAGAAAATCAATATGGCAATATATACAAAGCTTGTGTGTGTGCTTTTTGGCTTTTAGTAAAAAAAAATCCTACTCCATTTTTTTTACTTTGTGTATTTTCCTACTTGATGACTTAGCTTACCACCAAATCCTGGTTCTTGTGCTTCCCTGCTTGTTTCGTCAAAGCTCCTTTTTAACTACCCTTTATCTTAAGAGGCTTAAAAGATCCAAACTAAAATCCTTTTAAATTCTCTTGAGATACAAAAGTTGCAAAGGGTGGAGATTGGCTTGGGTTGTGACGTTGAATTTGTTAGTGTATATACAGTCAGTACTAGCCAATTCCATAATTGTTGAGAGTGACTCTAGAATATCATTCTCTTTTCATAAAGTAGATGAGGTCAGAGGTTCTGTCCCTAAATACTGCACTGCTGGCTAAAGTAAAAGTGTAAAATTATCTAGTGGGAGGCTTTATCACATATGTAAACTTGGAGAATATTATGTAAGTTCTATCTCCAAAATACTCTTTGCAGAGGAAAATGCCTTGGTATATCATTCGAATTATAAAACAGCTATGGCTTTTGATACTTTGTTGTTTTTAATTACTAAATCTGTGAATAAATGCTTTCAGAATTAGCACATGTAGCCTATAACTTACAGGAGGGGAAGAGATGTTTGAGTCAAGGAGTAACTTCATTGCCTTTAATAGTCTTATTTATGTGTCAGAACATAGCAATGAACTTGATCACAGCTACAATACAAAGTCACTCTTTTTTTTTTATTTATTCTGATGGAACTTCTGATGAAGAATCTTGTATTTGAAATCTCTTTTTATAAAATTTGTCTCAGGTTTTTCAGATATTTTATACTTATAAACTTGGACATGACCTCTCTCTCTCTTCCAATGCCACTGGGTAAAGTGCTCTTAATAATGATATACTAGAAGTGTAGACTAGAAAGCTCCAAAGAAATGTGCCAGAAATGTCTGTTCAGCCTTAGAGGAATCATGTAGTTATTCTCCGAGTTTTCTCTGATACTCTTGCTAATTGTTTACTCTACAGTTCTTATTTGTTCTGTGTTTAGAGCAAGAGAGTGTATTAAATAAAATAAGAAATGTATTTTATAGTAATTCTGCAGTATGTGTGAGTCCATCTGCATGTACCTATCTTGTATTTTTAAATCTTATTTTTAAATTAGGGATTGCAAATAGGGACAAGAGAACTGGAGGAGATGGGAGCAAAGTTCTGTGTTGGCTTACTGCGTTTAAAAAGAATGGCCTCACCTTTGGAATACAATCTGCCTTCTAGTCTGTTGGATATTGAAAATGAGCTGATTGAGTCAAGCTGTAAAGTGACAAGGTAGTACACATTTATTATATTTACTTTCTTTTTTTCAGGAAAAATTGAAGTTTCTCAAGTGATGTAAAGATCCTTTCAAAAAATTCTTCCACTCATCAAAAATAATGTTGATGTGTTGTGACCTGTTAGTGTAACAATAATCTGAATATATTGGAGACTTACTAAGTTAATTCAATTGCTTCAAACTTTGAAAGAAAAATACAGAGTTAGATTATATGTCACATTTGTTGATGGGATAAATACTGGCAATTTTAATGTCATCAGGGATGACTTATATGCATTAAAACTCCGTAGGTCTTAGGTCTCAGTTGTCTTTTGGAGAGCGTTTTTTTCATTTTTTTTATTACTGGTGTCACCGTTTAAGGCTGGGCCGGCGCTTACAGCGGGTGGCAGATGCTCTCTGTTAACCCCGTCCCTTCCCAGAGGGGGGAGGAGAAAAGGGAGAGAGACTGGCGGGTTGGAAAGTTAAACAAACTTTAAAAAAACAATAACAATTAAAATCGTATAAGTAATATTAAAGCTAATACTACT